ATCGCAACAGAGGGCTGGCAGAGCGGCTCAAGCTGTAGATACTGAGTTCAAATGCCAGGACTGCAAAAAGAAAAAAGGTGTTCTCAAATTTTTGTGTCCTGTAAACATCATTGTACACAGAGATTTAAAAAAAAAAACTTAAGATTATATATCAATTTGTCTTATGACAACCCCAGAAGAGGAAAAATCCAATGCAAATATTGGACTATTAATATGTATATAATTATTTTTATGTTCATAAAAGATTGTGACTCTAGAGTTTTCAATTACATGAGTGAATTCCCTTTTAGAACCAGTTGGGGTATGGTTTTCTGTCACTTGCAACCAAAAGAATCTGGACAATACAGTTTGTTTTGTTTTGTTTTGTTTTTTAAAAAGAAGAGAACACTTTGGAGTCTGTGTGCCAGGGCTCCTCAGGTCTGGAGAGAAGCATACACTCCTCATTTCTCCCTGATGTGCTCAGATAGTCACAGCTGTAGGGAGACCACTTTGGTGAATCTAAGTGGAAGAGCAAGGGGCACCCTGCTGCTGCCAGTCAGCAGGGAGATGCTGAGAAGGGGGACCCAGTTGTGTCCCCTGGCTGAGGTCCTAGGGTTAATGCCCACCTGGAGGCACTGTCAGCAGATGGCACAGCAGCCTGCCCAGGTACTCCACCTGCCTTCCCCACACAAAGGGATGCCAGTGGGCTGGCATTACTAAAAGGCAGAAGCCTCACTGACCTTAGCAGGTCAAGGCAAGTACAAATTCAGCAGAGTGAAATCACCATCCCTATAGCCCTGCCAGGGCTGAGAAACCAGGGGATTTCACCTATCCATGCTTTGGAACACAGCAGCCTCAGGGCAAAGAACTCTTTCTGTCTGCTGAGCACACAGGACTTCTGAGCCCTAGAATGGCGTGTACTGGGAAGACACCCTCCCGGTATCAGTCTTGAGGCCAGTGCTCCCCAAGCTGCCTGGGCTGAAGCCCAGCTGGCGCCTGTTTCTAACTATCAATCTACCACAGATCATTGTAGATTGCAAACATTAATTCTAGTAAAAATGTATTAAAAATACAAAATGCAAATCCAAGTTTTTCTTTAACCATCCAAAGTTTCTAAATACTTGCTCTTTGTTTCTGTACTTGCCTCAGTTGGGCAGGACCTAAACTGCTCTGGTCCCACTATGATCAGAATTGTTCTGGGGAGAGCACTCCAGCTTTGTGTGTTACTCAGACTTTCGTTGCTATGATAAAATACCTGAGAGTAACAATTTTGAGGGAAGATTTACTTTGGCTCACAGTTACAGAGGTTGCCAGATCCATTGCTCCTGGGCCTTGGTGAGGCAGGACATCCTGGCAGTAGAAGCACATGGAACAGGCTGCTCACCACCTGGTAGTCAGGAAGTACAGCCAGACAGGAAGGGGCCAGGAACAAGATATCCTTCAAAGGCACACTCCCAGTCACCTACTTCTCCAAGCAGGACCCGCCTCTGAAAGTTTGTCACTGCCCAATCATGCCATCAAATTATGAATCCATTAGTGGATTAATCCATTTATTAGGTTATAGCCTCATGGCCAGTCACCTCTCAGTGATTGGACCAACCCAGACTGAGAGTCTTTAACATGAGTCTTTTTGGGGGGACACTTCATATTTAAATCCTAACACTTTGTTTTGAAGTTTCCAGAAAACTTCCTCTGAAAATACTTCATGTCTCCTAAATTAAGTAAACAACAACAACAGCAAAGAATACCCCCCCACACACAACCAAAATCCTTTAGCTTTACATCTAAGGGTGTCTGCCACATGGCCATAACTACCAGTCCTTCATTGGTTCACTCATTCTTTCAATTGGTCAGTCAATCCATCAATAATACTGACAGAGGGCCTACTGTGTGCCATATCCACATCAGGTGGAAGAATACATTGGTGTATAAGACAGGTAAAGACCCATAGTGTAGTGGTCTCCTTATACAAACCTGGACCCAAGCCAATCCATCTTTCAAGTGTGTGTAGCTTTTTCAACTCCATCATTTTCACCCATTGCATGTCTGATTCTCAGACATCTCTCATGGCTCTATTAGTCTGTTTTTCATTACTGAAGCAAAATACCTGAGGCAGGGTATTTTGAGTGGCCCATTGGTTAGTCTCTGGTGAGGGCTTAACAGCATCAGACCACAGTGCATTCAGGAGTGAGAGATCATATCACAAAACAGGAAGCCCAAGAGTGATTCGGAGTCAGGCTTGCTCTACAATGACTCCCTCCCTCCAGAGTTCAGGGATCCCTTAATTCCTTCTGAGGACAGCTCCCCCAGTGACTTATGACTCACTCAGTAGGTCCCACTTCTTAAAGACTCCATCACCTTCGACATTACTACACTGGGGACCAAGCTTCCAACACATGAACCTTTGAGGGACACACTCGTAGCAGAGCAATGACTCCATTCAAATGCCAGCTAGTTCATCTATAAGAGCTGTTATTAATGTGATCCCTGCCAGGTGCCTATACTGTGATAGGTACCTTACGCAGTGTTCCTAATTTTCCCAACAACTTCACAGGTTTCACCACCCCTTCTGCCACTGAACAACCTGGTACTGTGGAAAGTTTTCTGAGTTCACAATTACAAACTCTTTTTAAAAGCATTTCTAGTGAAGTATGATATATATTTAGAAAAGTATACTAGTTGTACAGCTTGATGAATATGCAGAAACTCAACACACCCATGCACTCTCTAATAACACCCTGCACACGTCTCCTCCCTAAGAGGGAGCACTGTCCTGACTTCTAACTGTAAGGTTTAGTCTTGCCTGTTCTTATTCATCACCTAATGGACCCTCAAAGTGCTGGCTTTGTTCAGTCAGCATTAATTATGAGATCCGTTATACTGTTCATTCTCCCTGCTATATCACACTCCACTGGGTGAACACATCACAGCTGATTCGTTAATCGTATGGTTGATGGGCACCTGGGTAATTTCCAGGTTGCTATGAACATTCTATTGCATGTCTTCTGATGAACTTATGGATGCATTTCTACCGCATAAAATTACCAGAATCAGGTATGTGGGGCCACAGGGTTTGCATACGTTCAGGGTTAACAGATATTCTGACTTCCTTAATATTCCATGTTATTTTAAATCTTGTTTATGAATTCCTTTCATCTCCCCTACTAGACTATAAATGTTTTTTCAATTGAATACACATTATTTGTGCCATGCTTCATTTTAAAATGAGGAATGTAACACATAATATAAGACAGAAAGCCAAACTGAAAAAACACGGAAAAGAAGGGCAGGGGAAAGAAAAGGATGAAGGGAGTGAACACAATAGCCCAAATATACCTTACAAGGCCAACAGATGCTTTTTAAAGAGCTGGACCACAAACATGGTTGAGCTTCCTATCAGCCAATGCAGAGAGGGAATCAAGTTATAAAAAATTCAATGTTCACAGGATAAAAGTACCCACTGTTCAGTGGGGTTGCTATTTCTAGCTGTGGGATTTAAAAATGTAAATCCAAGTCTTCATGAAAGGCCCAAACTTTATTTCAATAGTGAGAAACGTCAGTTTCTTCCCTCTTCTCCCTCAATGTGGACTCTTAGAGGGAGAAAATGTAATCCAGCTGCACAGTTCTTCAAAGGTCCGACTAACTGCAAGGGGGAAAAATTGGATGAGGGACCTCAAGGCATCTCTGAAATCTTTTCAGGGGCTCTGCATGGTCAGATTTATTTATACAATACTACTAAAGTTCTTTTGCCTTTTTGCTCTCATTCTGTCCTATGTACAGTTTTTCAGAGGCCACATGGCATGAAATATTACAACAGAGCCAATGCAGAAAGATACAAGAATTCACCTGTCTTCTGTTAAGCCAGACTTAGAGGTTTACAAATTATTTGTCTTGAGAAATATTTTTATACAAAAATGTGCCCTATTAACTTACATAGGTTTGTTATTGATGCTTTTAAATGATGTAATTTTTCAAATTTTGTCCAGGCATGGTTGCACTGCCTCTCATCCCAGCTACTTGCAGAAACTGGTAGTATGGAGGTTTGGGGCTGGGCAAAAAGTTAGTGAGACCCCGAGACCCCATATAAACAAGTAAGTCAGGTGTGGTGGCACAAACTTTTAATTACTACACTGGAGACACAGATAGGTGGATCACTACTCAAGGCCAGTCCTGGGGAAAAGTGCAAGGCCCTATCCAAAGAATGGCTAAGGCACAAAGGGCTTGGGGGGTGCAAGTGGTAGAGTGCCTGCCTAGTGAGTGGGCCGCCTGAACTCAAACCCTAGTACTGACAAAAATTTATTTATTTCTTGTTGCAACATTCTTTGCTGCTCTTGCTGGCAATTCATAGTGTCTTTACCAAGGCAAAAACTCTTTGGGCAGATTGGCTGTGGGCCAAACTAAGGATGGCTTTTTTCACCTTCTGATAGGCTCCCACTATTATATGATTGTGCCTTTACTATGTTTTTTCTAAGTTTTTTTTATGGGGGGGGGAATCATAGTGACAATTCCGATTAGACTTATATTGAACATTAGTTACACTGCCCCCATTGTCTCTCCCCCTCAATCCCCTCCCTGTCCCACTTAAAGCGATTGCAAGAATTTCATATTTCACATGGGTAGAAATCCATCAGCCATGTACCGTCACTTTAATCTCCTTCATTCACCTCCCCATGCTACACCTATTTTACAGTCCTTTTTTTAGTTAATATTTAAGTTGATATTCAAAAGGGTTTCTCAGTGTATGCCTACTGTGTGTATACTTTACTTCTGTCAAAAAAAGATTCCTGCCAGGCGCTGGTGGCTCACACCTGGAATCCTAGCTATTCAGGAGGCAAAGATCAGGAAGCCAGCCTAGGCAAATAGTTCCAAGAGACCTTATCTCGCAAATACCTTCACAAAAATAGGGCTGGTGGAGTGGGTCAAGGTGAAGGTACTGAGTTCAAGCCCCAGTACCGCAAAAAAAAAAAAAAAAAAAAGAAAAAAACAAATTCTAACACAGTAAATATCTAAGGATACAAAAACAGAATCACAATGGAGTTCCTAAAATTTTTTAAGTGTATAGGCATCTTGAGACCAAAATGTTTCCCCAAAAGGCCATTGCTAGTCACAAGTCCCACAGGCAAGCTGTGGAAAGGACTGTGTGATCCAATATATTTGGGATTTGTTATCTTCTCCTGGAAATCATCAAATTGGACCCCAATAAACCTAACCAACCTTGGAACTCTTGTTTCCTAAAAGTGCTTCTATTACTGTCCTTGGGACTCCAGACCTGAGAGACCTTCAGTCAACCCTCAGGAGCTGGGTGTCTTATGATTTGGCTTCTGTCAAGTGTGCACAGCAGACCGAAGTTACACACCTGACAACACAAAGGGTGATCCTGTCATACACATTAAAACAACTGAGCAGCACTGACAGCCCCTTTATCTTTGTAAAGAGGGCCAAACCCAGGACAAAGATTCTACTCAGGAGGCAATCTGGGTGTGTTCCCTCAGCAGTCACTTGAGGCCCCACAGTTCTCCCTTACAGAACTCAGTCATCTCAGCCTGGACATCTTCCAAAGCAGATGTTACCACACACTTGACTCAGTCATAAAAAAAGCATCTGCAGAAGTTTAAGTTTTGTAACTTCTTTGTGCCCCTTCCAATGAAAACTGTGGGCAAATGCACCCCTAATTAGGCAACTTCCTCTATTGGGTTATTAACTGTAAGTCAATTAAATGTTAGAGAATGCCTATCAAAACTGGTGACTTTGGTTTGGAACTATCAATCTTACTTCTTTTTAACTGTAATTACATAATTGGGCAAGTTGTCTGTTAAGAAAATGCTAGGTTCACAATAATAAATTATGTCACCAAGCAGCTCATCTAATTCAAGGCACTGTGATATAAAAATGAAAAATATGTCTCTCCAGAAGCGTATGATCTGGTGAGGGCCAGGAAGAGCAAAGGGAAGGGCAGTGTTAATTCCCTGGTAGAGAACTGGCCCTTCAGTGTTCATTATAGCAAACATCGCACCATTTACCTCTAAAATGTTTACTTGTATGCAAATACAGGAACACTATACAAATATCCACCAAACATCATCTAGTCAAATAATACTTCTTGGTATTGTAGTTTACAAAGATGACAGTCAACACTGAAGTAAAAACAAATCATTTTACTATCCATATTCTCACTGCTGGGAATTCACCACTGGTTTCTACTGGGCATGTGAACAGTCCAGTTTGATTTGCTTTATTGATTTATTTTCCAACATGGAGTGATCTTCAACAAGAGATGCTCAAGCTGAACTGTGTCTTCCTAAACAGCACGAAGTACCTTGTCCTCAAACAGTCCTGGGAGGCAGCTCAGCATGGTGGGTTTTCACTGAAATATCTTATTTAGAAGGTGGCAAAACAGGCGTAGCCCTTAAGCCCCCAGGTTGCTTATATTCCTGTCACAGCTCAGTAAGTGATAAAGACTGTCTAAAAACAGCCTTGCAAGCCAGCTCCATTTGTGGAAAGGCAGCGGAATCATGAGACCCTTCCTGATGGTGTCATCTGTTCTAGGGGTCTCTTGGTACTGAAGCAGGGAAGCATCAAGCCGTGTGCACAGTCTTTGATTACAAGTGATCTTACTGATATGGCATTCCAGCTTTCCTCTCCAGTTATCTTCTACAGTGGGGTGATTAGCATACTTGACGGAGTTGAAATCATGTCTACTTTTATAATCAGACTCAGTGGCAGTCTCATTTCCGGCCAAATGGATCAGACCACACTTTCAACCCTATGGAAAAAGACGTGAATAAAACAGTTCACTTTTAAATGTCCCAGTACTTCCCTCAATGCCAAAAAAACAAAAGGACACCGGAACTGAGTTGTGCAATTTCCATGTGGTTGAGACAGGGAGAGCGGCTGCTGGAACCCTGGAATGAAGTGGCCAGGAAGCCCCAGCAGCTGTAAGGAACTTTTAAATGGCTCAGAAATTGCCCTCAACAAGATATTTATCTCAAAGATACGTATCTGGCCTAGTTAGGAAATAAATAAGAATGTTACCACAGATTACAGGAGTTTGATTAATAAGCTGTAAACTTCTTATTCTTCGCCACTTGGATCATCTTAAAGGAAGGACCCATTCAGACATAAAGAGAACTTCTGGAGCTTTAGTATAAAGTCGAATCCCACATCAATTAAAATAGCTCACAAGTTAATACTATTTTCCTATGATGGTAGTGTTTAAGTAGGTGCTTGGTAAATATGTCTGCAAAACAGCTATTCACACTTCATATTTAATTGCACACTTGTTACATTTTATGCCCACATATCAAGTGCAAAAGAGGAACCGGGCAAACTTGCTAAAAGTGTTCTGCAGTGAAACATTAAAAAGAAGTCTTGGATAACACACAGAAAATGGTCACTATTATAAAATAAATAGCAAAGTCAAGTTTCTAAGCTAAAAAACATTCTCCCTCTCTCCACTCCAAAGAAAACATACACAAACCACACAGCCGGAGTACAAATGAGATTTTTTTTTTTTTTTAAAGTTTACCTGGTGGCTGCACATCTTCTTGAACAATACCAGCCCGATTTATAGCTTGTTCTTTCTCTGAGAAAGACAACAGCACAGTTACTTTTTAGAAGGCGGAGGGGACAAAAATCTCTGTAGTTACATGGAACAATGACATGGGGTGGAAAGAAACAATATTTATGAGTATTATTAAATTTAGAAATGCCATTACTTAAAGCTTTTAGGATGTGGAGGCTAGAGCTCAGAATGCAGAAAAAAGAAAGCCAGCCATACTTCAAAAGAAAAGCTGTCAACTAACATCTTTTTCCTATGGTCTCAGCATTTTGGAAAGGCAACAAAACAACAGAAAAGGAACAATTTGAAGAACTGGTGGGCGTGATATTACAAGTGGAAGGCTGCTGAAATGAAGGAACAAGTACAATTAACAAGAAAATGATGTCGTTTATATGTCTGCAACGCGCTCCACTGAAGGACTGGACTCCGAGCTAAATATGCTATGTTTTTGATAGGAAATAGAGCAGAAAATGAATCTTTGGGTGGGTGGCTTTGGTTTGTATAATTGAAGCTTCCCTAATTGATTGCAGGTGCTGTGCCAATTAGTAAGCGGGTTGTAGCACAGCAACTAAGCCAGTCTCTTTGGAGATGTCCACCAGGCAGGGGCCAAGAGAAACTGAGCATTTTATGACTGTGAGCTTCACGCATTCTGTCACATCTTTCTAAGTGGTTTAGAATAAACCCAAGGCCTGGGACAACAAAGACTTGTTATTTTAAGTATCCTGACAAACAAATGGCTGCTTTTTAGAAAAAAGACTTGCAGCCAAAGGATGTTTACTACTAAATTACCGTAATTAAATGTAGTAATCAGACCTTTGTTTTAATCAGACTGACAGTGTTTCTTTAAATCCACATTTAGCTCTCAATATCAGGCAATTTTCTTTATTTTGGCCTCTCTCTGGATTCTCATAAAGTTACACAGCATAAAGGTACTAGAAACTGGGTTTTGCCAACTCAGATATTCATTGAAATTGCTTCTCTAGTGATGAGACACAAAGTCAATCCTAAATGACCTAGAAGTTTTATTAATGCTAACTTCTGCTTTGGCAAATAAGACACCGGCAGCGAGGATTATGGGCCTCTTGAGATCCAATTCTAAGAAGGACATGGAGAAGACATGGCATAATGAGACGATTACAGACAATGACTGAAAGTAGCAGGTACCCTCAGCACCTTGCCATGCCAAGACTTCTTCCAACTCAAGTGGCTGATACAGAGCCTGCAGACTTTCTGAAGTAAGTCAACACAATAGGTATTCTCACTTCCTAACACATTAAATTCTTGCAGGTGAGCACTACCACACTGTCAACATGTTAATCTCAAGTATGAGTGTCTCAACATGGGCTTAGAAAAGACCACAGTGTCATCAGTCTTGCTGAGAATAAAAACAGATCTAATTTTCCAAACCAAAAAGGTCTATTCACTGATATGAAAGAGGGAAGAGATTATGAAAGAGGGAAGAGATGAGTTTTGAAAAATGATTGTCAGGAAGTATTCTGGACCTACAGATTGAAGAAAATCAGTCATTTTGGTGTACTGAATGTGAGCTCTAAGTAGGTACCACACCACCAAAAGAGGCTTGGCAGGCTGTCAAGCATCAAGCGCCAGCGAAAGCTGTCTTTGGGTGGCAGGGACAGAATGCCTAATTGAGTTCTAACCTCTTGTGATGCAGTGGAGGAGAATCAAGTGTAGAAGGAATCCCTGTCTTCACACTTTCTTGCTAATTGCTAATGAGGTTGGAGACAGGCAGAGGATTTGTTCTAAATAGACTGTAATCTCTTCATAATCCTTGTCCTAATGCAATCACTTCTGTAGTTTGGCCTGGACTGGCAATTTAAACCAATTCCAACCAAGTGACAAGCAGACATTAGCATCCTATCTACATTCCCTGGTTCTTTAATCCATTAATGTTTTATAAACATGCTAAGGACAAAGCAGTCTTATGTAAATTCATGATACCACACAAAGATTCAATATTTGTGAATGCAGAATATGTTAAGAGGAAAACAGAAACTAGTCTCTCAGTATTTAGCAAGTGCCTCTAGATAAGGGTGACAGGTTTCTACTTTGGTCTCACTGGAGAACTCACAAAGGTATATAAACGTCAGGAAAAGGGCAAGGCAGAAGTCGGGTTCAGCTATGTGAATGAATAAGCTAATTACTGACTTCGGTTGTGACCATGATCCCATCTGAGGTGAAATGATTAAAACCCAGCTATGGGCCACTGGGTTAGAAAATTCCCCACTGCAGTGGCTCAGCAAGCCCGACTCTGCCCCCTGGTGCTAAGGCAGTGGTTTGATTTGTAGTTTTAATTGAGAATTGTTATCTCTAGTCAAAGGCCAAGCAAGGTGCATTATTAAAGCTGTTTATATATGCAGGTGGGCTGATTTTGGAATGGTAGTAAAAGAATCCACCTAATAATTTTTAAGTCTTTGGAAATGAAAATGTATCCTTATCTTGAATGTCCATATTAGGAAATAAATCTTGTGTGTGACTTGTTACTGTATTTAACACTGACAGCCACACAAATGTGCGGTATCTCTAAGTGCCAGCTCCCTCGGCAGCCTCACAACTGCCTCGGCGGAGTGCTAGTGGAGCACCAGTAGGAAGAAACCTAAAATGAGTAACAGACAAAAGCCAGTGCCGAATAGGACCTTGGGAATCTACCTCTTCCACCTTCTCCTGCTCATCAACAGTGGAAAGAAATAAAAACAACGCACAAGTTAAAATAATGGGGACAAATGGCAAAATGTGAATATAGACCATATATTAGATAACAGGTTATAGCAATATTAGATTCCTGGATTAGATGACTCTAGTATGGTTAGGTAAGAGAATGACCTTGTTTTTCAGAAATACAGGCTGAAGTACATAGGAATGAAAGGTCATATCTTCAACTTACTGTTATTTTGCTGAACCATTTGAAAGCAACAATTACAATGTCATGTATATACAATTATGTGTATGTATGTAGGTACATGTGTGTATGTATTATCAAGACAGAAGGCAAATGTGGCAAAATGTTAACAACTGGTAAACCTAGGTGAAGGATATACAGGAATTTACTGGTCTATTCTTGCATCCTTTCTGTCAGTTTTGATTTTTTCTTAATAAAAAATATACAGCTGTAAAATGTACATATAAGAAAACCCACAACACTGTGACTGTTCCATAATGATTACTTCAAAATATCTTTTCTAAAATAGCAAATACAAATGTTTAGAGAAAACACTTTCTTAGTGCTCCCATTTTTGCTGCTGTCACCAAGGTACACACTCTGCCTACAGTGGAGTCCAGACCTGGATGTGCACTGATGGCAGGTGTGAACCAGAGCCTGAGGGGAATCAAACAACCATAACGTCTCAGGTGTGAATAGCTGGCTGAGAGGACCTGAACAGCAAGTGTGAGCAGTGACTGAGGGGGACCCAAGCAGTTACAATAGCAAGTACAAATCATAGGCTGAGGGGAAACAAACAACAAGGTAAAGCAATGACTGTCGGGGATCAAAGAGTCAAAACAGTGACTGTGAAACAGAGGCTGGGGGGACCCACATGGCCAGAACAGCAGGTGGAAACAGCTGGCTAGGGGAACCAAGAGGTCAGAATAGGAGATGTGAACTGGAAGCTGAGGTGGACCAGACAGCAAGTGTGACCCAGCTGGCTAAGGAGGCCCAACAGGTGTGAATCAGCTGGCTGAGGGAACCAAATGGCCACAACAGCAGGTGTGAACCAGAGGCTGAAAGAGACCAAATGGCCTTAACGAAAGTGTGAATTAGCAGCTGAGAGGAGTCAGTGGCTGAGAAGATACCACACCATGTAACAGCTCATGAGAAGAGGGTGGGTGAAAGGGACAAATGGTTACTTGAATCACTGGCTCCTCATAGCACTGTACACATTGCTGTTTGCTCCACAGTCTGTTGAATCCAGGGAGCACTGTGATGCCAGTTAGAAAATATGACTTCAGTCTGTCTCTGCACTTCATTCAGTTATGTGGTGAAAGGAATGAAAAGTCTATTCTAAGCACCTGGCATGGAATAAGGAAAACATCCTTACAAGGTAAGAGTTATTTCTACATCAAGCAGTTTTAAGTAACCTTGTTCCACGGGGTGGTCAACACACTTCCAGTGTGCTACTGTCATGGAAAGACAAGACTGAGCAGCAGAATGGAGGTCTCCTTTCAGCTGGCCCGTGTAAACTTTCACCTTGCTGTCTCTTAAACATTCTTTGCTGTCCTAAGGCGTGTGACAGGGCATTAAGATGTCAAGGTCAGAAGGCAGGGTCTAGAGCCCCCCAGCAATCAATGCACTGAGTGGCGCTGAACAAGCCACCTAAATGAGGAATAAAGGAGCTCAAGCCCCTTCTGGCAAAGCCCTGTGATTTATGTTTCTGCACATCTAATTAAAACTCAAAATGAACGCGGCCACAGAACTGACCTTGTTCTGTGTCACTTCACCAGCTGACTCCAATGCCTACAATACTTGCTATTTTAAAAGGCCACACGCAGGGTCACCGGGTGGCTCTAGGACACAGATGGGGCTTCCAGGCACAGCCCTCTGTACTCTTCCTTAACCACTCTGTGCAAAGGGATGAAAGCAAAAAGCCACGGTCTGGGCTCCTTCCAGACCACAGCAAACTGTACCCACAGCCCTGGCTCTGGATCACTGACATCCAAGTCCGAATGCCATCTCCTCACTGGTCACTGTGGCATTTGATATGTACGGAACCGACCTTGTATTCTGTGTGAACTCAGTAAAGTCATGCTGAGCTACTCAAAGAGCTGCAGAACACATTTTATGTGCAAATCAAGTCCAGACTTGTGACAATGGCCTGTCCACTCTGCCACCATGGAAGTTCTCCTTGGCTCTCTGAGTAGCATTCCTCGTTATTGCTACTTGAAGGCTCATTCCAGCAAACCTTGGAGCCTCCTTGTCCCCATCCTCCCCACACCCAGGCTGGCCCAGCTGAAGGGCTGAAAGGGACCTGACATTTAGGCCTTCATGGCCTAGGCTCCTTCCTTGCTAGCCTCTGGCTCCAAATCTTGCTGCCCTTGCAAGAACTGTGGCCTTCTTGCTATGCCAAACTGAAACACTGAAGAAAACAAATGTACAAAGGACAGCCAGAAGTGGAGGGCTAACAGGAGAGGCTAAGGAGCAGCTGGAAGGCAGGAATGCCTTCCAACCAGGAGTGCTGGCAGAGGGGCCACCCCAGATGTCTAGGGAGGATTGTTTCAGGAAGGGACAGTCTGCCTGGAGGCTGTGTGTCTTGCTGGAAAGGGCCTGACTTCCTGGGTTACAGAGAATGGAAGCTATTGCCTACAGCAGCCACAGCTCAAAGTCACCTTCAAAGCCATCCAGGGCTGCATCCAGATAGGCCCTTCCTCTTGAGCCAGGGGAAGTGGCACCTCCTCCAGCCAAGAGTTTGGCATCTCCCTGAGCCCAGAACCCACATGCCACTTCCCTTCAGGGCTGTCCTCTCTGCAGCACCTTTGTCTGTCTGGGCTCTTCTTGCTCCATCCCTCCCAGTCAAAGCTGAACTTAAAAGCCCATTCTCCCCAGAGCCCTTGACCTGCTGCAAGTGTTCCTTGTTCTCCTTGCCAACAGCCAAAGGTCTTTAAATGTGCAATTTAAACAGACTCTTTAATCTGCTGCAATCTGTTTTACCCATTTTCAAAACCACTGAAAGCACTACCAAAATAACCAATATCTTTATCTTCTTTTTGCTAAACCCAATGCCTACTATCACTTATCTTTCTCATGTCTCCAAGCAGCCTAACCTTATGGGCCACACCCTTTCATGGGGCTTTAAGTCTATCTCTGTGGCCACTCCTACTCAGTCTCCTTTGATGACCTCTCTCTTGCCCTGCTGACCTTTCCTGTGACCTTCAAATACTGGTGCTCACCATCCTCTGCCTGGGTCAGCTCATCTGTCTCTTCCACCTCTGAGCACTACCAGAGCCATGTGGCACATCTGCAGACCTAATAATCCCCAACGTGTCCAAAAGTGAACCCACTCATCCTTACCCCAAACTGATGCCTTGTGTTTCCTAATTAGTGACTAGCACCACCACCTCCCCAGCCACTGGAGCCAGGAGGCTTTTCTGGGTGCCCCTGTCCTTCTTCTCCCTCCCTCACCTGTGGGGCTCATGGGCCCCTACAGGTTACTCTCCTGAAACATATAACCCACCACTACAGTTCCAGCCAGTTACCTTTTCCTAAAGTCAAAAGAAATATAGCCCTTCTGCCTCCGCACTTGACCCCCCAGCCCCTCCCTCCCACAGTGAGTGATGCTTGCACAGTGAAAGCCATCACTTCGCTCTCCTTGTGAAAACACTTCAGTGATCCTCCACTGGCTGGGCTCTGGAGATAGCAGCAGGTAACTGGCAGATTTTAATCAAGCCAGCCCAATGATCAAATGTAAACAAGTGTGTGTGGGTAGAGGGAGCAGGCTTTTCTACAGCCACATCTGAAGACCTGGAGGGCTATACATTTACTAACAAACAAAAACAGAGTTTCTCAAAGAAATAGTAACAGACTATTTCAGAAAGAAAACTGAAACTACAAAGGAGAAGAAAGACAGAAAGGAGAAGAAGAATGTGGGTAAAGATAAATGATCAGTGACTATAGTTAAGCCATGCTACTAACTGACCCAAATAACATGTAAGATGTATGTGGCTAGGAAGAGGGCGAAAGACAGCAGTGTTCTGACCATCCTGTTTGGTCATGTACACCTTGCATCTAACGCAGTGCCAGGTACAGTATGACTACTAAAATCCAGGTTTTAAACAGATGAAAGAAAAGCAGCTAAATAAATGCTAGTCAAAGGCACTGCAATGAATTGAAGCTCTATCACACAGCAGATTCCCAAGACCTGATCACAAACACACAGCAAGGTACCTGGACCCCAATTTACTGCCAGGTCAGCCAGTCTGAGGTCTGTGCACCTGCTTCAATCTCCTCATCCCACCCCCCTGCTTTGGTGGCTCCTTACTTTTAAAATGTTTTTGTGGAATGTCTATACTAGGAATTTCTACAACCATTACCTCATTTAATTCACCCAAACCCTGTTAGATTCCATCCAGTGACCTCTGCTACAGATGGGGACACAGCAGGCTTCAGAGGTGAGTGTAATTTGCCTTTAGGTCATTCTGGGCCCTTCACCTGTCTAACGTCCTAGAGCCCGAGGCAGCATGGTGTGCCTTAGTTTAGGGATTCTGGACCCTGGTTCAAATTCCAGATCTGTGGCTCCTCCATAGTGAGTCCTAAGCAAGTTACAGAACTGCTCCTACTTCAGTTTGCCCCACATAAAATGGGGATGAGGGTCATCAGCTTACCATGAAGGGCTATTTTGAACAATAGTAAATGGCTTCATATGTTTGAAGTGCTCAGAAGGGTGCCAGATACATCTTTCAAAAAAATTAGCTGTTTAGTATTATTTACCTGTTCAAAGAATCACTTATGACAGATAAAAGTTTACCAAATTAACTAAAATAGAATGAGAAAAGTAAGCAGGTGTGAACTATTTTCCAGTTAAAAATGCAATTATTAATCTGGCATGGTGGTGCTCACCTGTAATCTCAGGATTTGGGAGGCTGACACAGGAGGATTGTGAGTTCAAGGCCAGCCTGGGCTTACATGGTGAGCCCTAGCTCAAAAAACAAAACAAACAAACAAAGCAGCTTCTGCAATTATACTCAAATTTGTTCACCCAAAAGGCCTGCTTTGTCTCAAGCAACTCAGACAACCAAAGCTTCCGGAGTGTTCCTATAAGACAAATAGCTATACAGGGCACAGACCCAAACTTCTGACCATGTGATTAGAGCAGAGCTTCTCAGCACAGCCCTCATATCTGGATAATTCTATGTCATGGGGACAGTCCTGTGCATTGCAGAAAGTTAATCCTGGATTCAATTCAGTTGATTTCAGGAACACACTCACCTCACCTTCTCTCCCTTAGCTGTGACAAGCAAAAATGTCTCCTGATAGGGCCAGTGTTCCCTGGGAATAAAATCACCCAGGTTAAGAACCACCGCTCTAGTCTTTGTAACTGAAATTTTGCTAATGGGACCTAAAGCAGACCCTTTGTCTCATATTCAACTCTAGAAGCCATAATAAAATATCTTGAGGCAGGGGTTCAGTGAGGGAAAATGATGGACATGATTACACAGAAGTTTAAACAATTCCACCTTACCCATGCATGGTGCATGCAGAAAGCAGAGACCATCTCAGTCTTGGCCGATGAGAAGCTACAAGGAAATCTAAGTGTGTGCTTAAAACGCGCTGCCCCCAGAAACCAAATGTAACTTAGCAGCATTTGTAATGGGCACAGCATTTACATGGGGCCTTCATCTTCAAATCGCCTAGCTTCAGCCTCAGCTAATATCCTCCCAGGACAGAGCTGGCCCTTTTCCATCTTCAAGATGATTCAGGTTTCCTGGAGAACAAAATGGGCCTCTCATGCCTAATATTTTCACCCTGACAGATGGCTTCAGATGTATCAAAGTGCTAATCCTTGCTGAGGTATAGGTCTCAAGGAAGGAGAGTTTGGCTTTTAAAATGATAGGACCTGAATGATTAAGGAGGAAAATTACTCCCAAGATAATCACCATTGTCATGTGAGCAACCAGCTTAAGATGAAGGAAAATCAGTAGAATCTGAAAAACGACTTGAGGAAAAAGGAGAGGCAAAATTGAAAACCCAGGTTAACAGTTTAGGTTTGAGATATTTCCGCTCAAAGAAATCCTAGGGAATGGAGATGAAGTGCAATAAAAACCCTTTCAGCTCCAAATGATCGGGGTTCCATCTGCCACTCCCCTATGTCATCATTCTCAGCTCGGGTGTGAAGGAGGAGGCCTGGGTTGGAGCTTTTGCCATACTACGTACCAGCTATGTGGCCTTGAGCAAGCCAAACAACCCCTGAGTCTGTTTCCCCATCTGTAAAATGGGCACTATCTAATCTCAAGGGACGTTGTGCAAATGAAACATCCCAGCGTATGCCTAACCTGACACATCTTAACTGTTCCGTACATGTTAACTACTGGGTGTGAACTAGTAGTGTGGACCTACTGTACGCAGGCTGCTCTCATAAACGTCACCACCTACGTCTCACCGGAGGTTCTGGTTTTACGACTGACAGTGCAGATATCCGTATTTGTAAATGGGACACTGAGGGTCCGAGAGGGGACGCGTGTCCCCGGTCACAACGCTGTCCACGGCAGGACTGGAGCCCGGCCCTGCCTGACTCCTGCGCCTTGCTTTTTCTACCGCACCACGTGGAACTGACGGGGTCCGGGGGGAGTTACGGGGCCAGTGCGGGGTCAGAGGTCACTCACGGTACTCCTCCAGCCTCATTAGGGGCCGGAAGTAGATGGGGTAGAAGGCGGCGCCGACCAGGGAGACAAAGCCGCCGAAAATGAGCGCGGTACGCAGGTTCCGGGACACTGACATGGCGCCGGGCCGGAGCTGCGGGCACCCGCGGAGGGCCCGTCACTCTCGGCCACCTTGCTCCCGCCGCCCGGGCCGTAACCCCACTCCCCCACTCGGAAGAGGCGGAGCGGCTTTCGCTTCCGGGCCTTGGGGCGGGGCGAGAGCAGGGGTGGAGTCAGAGGCGTGGTCTATGGGCGTGGGCCTCTGGGTGGGCGGGGGTGAGGGCGTGGCCTCGGGCTCCAAGCACCTTCTCCCCGCCGCGCCGCCCCGCCCCGCCCCGCCCCGCCCAGGCTGCCAGCAGCGCCCGCCCCAGGCGGGTGGCAGGTTTTTGGGGAACTTTTGGGGCGCGGGATTCGCGCGGGTTCTTTTCCGCCCTCTGCCCTGGGCCAGGTACCTCCCTCCTCCGCTTCACCCACCATCTCCAGTCCTCCTGCCGCCCCTAACCACGCTTTCTCGACCTTCCCGCATTAATTTGGTACTTGCAAGGCTATGGCTCCCTCTCAATCCTCGTGTTGGTTCAGTTTACAGGTGAGGGAGACTTTCTGCAAGGCTTTGGACAAGTCACTGGGCCTCTCTGAGAGCAGATTGTGCAGATGAAAGGCAAAGGGGCAAACTGCCTGGCCCAGGACGGCCTGAAGGGTGTTTGTGAAACCCAAGCCACAGGGGCTTCTGGACCAAGACTATAAAGGGAGGAATGTCATTTCAGCATCCAAAATGAGAGTATCTTTTCTGACTCGTTCCATCCCCTTTTCTCTCCCTTGGTAAGCATACAACCCAGCCATCCCTCTGTACTGCGATGTCAGGATTGCCAGTGAGGATAAGGAGAAGACAGGGATCAGGGAAGGGCAGAGAGCCAGCGGCCAGTCCTGCTTATAGGACTCCGGTTTATGACCTGGAAGGGCATCCACTAAGGACAGACATCGGCTTTTTCTTCCTATGATTGCCATCCTTTATCCCCTGCCTCTGTCACCTTTTATGCCCAAGGGGGACCAGGCACCTGAAACCAAGATTCCTTGGGTCCTCACTCAATCTTTTATAAATAGAAATGGAACCAGCAGCTGGGGCTGGTGAGCAAAGGCGACATTTATCTCCACCCCAGCAGTTTTAGTCCTGAGAACATGTACAATCTTTCTGAAAAGATGTGGAAAACACAGGTTTCCTCCTTCTGTGTAGTTTTTAGTTGAATCAAGACACTATCCACCTCTGTGGCTCTAGAAGGATATAAATCGGCTGTCTGATGTATCAGCAGATTTATGGACTATCTGCCAGGCCCCAAACACCAGGCAAAGTGCTACAGGGAACGCAAGATGAATATGACCTGACCCCTGCTCTCCATGGTCCCGCCACAGAACAAACACATGAAAAGATAACTCATGACCGACACAGCCTGTTGCCAGTGTGTGATATGCTCCTGTGGGCTACAGAACTGCAGAGGAGGAAGACAAATGACTATACGGTGAGGTGACTGGTCCTCAGGCAGAACTTGTTGGCTAAGAAGAGAAGGCTTCCCAGCAAGAAGGGGACTTGGAACACATGCTTTCTATCACATGATAGAAAATACCCAGATGCAGTGTGCATTAGTAGCCTAACATCCACTTCCAGTTTTCCTGTGCAGAGCACCCAGGATATCTTTTGAGAAACAATTCCTCTCCCACTGCTGGTCCACCAGGTAAGCGGGTGCCCTGCCCTCATCCTACTTTTCCCCAGCTCTGAGTGTTCAGTACACAACCAAACTGACCAAGCTTCCTTGCCCATGGAGTGGTTGGCACAGGGCTCAGGCTGATGCAGTTGCATTGCTCTGGTGGCATTGTTGCAGCACTTCCTAGCGCTGCCTGGTGCCTCCTACGTGGCATCGTTGCAATGGATTTCCTCATTGCTAATGTTCCAGTGGGGTAATTACACATCTTCCCATGGCCCATAATTGTGGAACCTCCCCATTTTCCCTCAAGTTGAACCAAATGTAGTCTACCCCACCTCTACTAGGAAACTGGATTTGGACTTGAGGGAATGAGATACTAGAGCTTTTGGAGGCACCATTTTGGGGACTGAGAATGAGGTCAGTATAACAGGAGAACTGAGAGATGGAATGAATCCAGATAGTGGTGTAGCATTTGAGCCAACCAATCCTACCTGGACGATATCTGTCCCTAAACTGCTCAGTATGAGCTGATGTGTCCCCTGTTCACTGAAGCCACTTTGGGTTGGGTTCTGGTTCACACTTTGATGAGCGACAAGGACAACTCTTTTATAGACCAACAGAGACCTAAACTCTCTCAGGGTCACACATCTGTTGAGGGCTTATGTTTTGTGACTCCTGATCCTTCTGTGAACAAGCTTGGCAGGATAGCCAGTCAAGGCCCCATTCACAGGCTTCTGCCAGCTAGTATGAGTGGGGTACCTGGTGAGGTCAAGGAGTACCTCCAAGGCAGGAATGGGAGCAATATGGCAGATGAACCAAGGTGATATAGCTGATGACTCATGGCTTCTCTGTCCCTTTCATGCTGATCTAAAGACATTAGTTGACCAGCAGATATGATTACCCTTGGAGCCATTTGTGTAGGTTATTAGCCTTTTGACACCAGAAAGTCATCAACACTTGCCTGGTACCAAGTCCTACCAAATGCAAATTCATCTCTTTGATCTCAATGACCTCCTGTTTTTCTTTTCCCTCTCAATTCAATCAGCAAATACCTCTCATGTGCCTCCTGCATGCACAGCATCGCACGGCTGATTGGGGCAGAAAGAGGACTCCTTCCACTCCTTGAATTCAGCCATGGTCCACTGAGCCAGGCCCAGGGTGCCAAATGCTTTTCAGGTGCTGGTGGAGCAACAGTGAACAAAACAGCAGAGTTTGTTGTCCTCATGGTGTCTGCAGTCAGGAGGAGCATAAGATGTGGCAGTGCACATCTTATGTTTCTTGGCTTCCCCTAATAATAGCTTCTGGCATCTTTTGGAAAATGACCTCTCATTTTGTTATTCTTGGCTGGACTGTAAATCCAGGTACCATTTGTACTCCTGAGCAGCACAGGGCTAACAGCAAGTCTTCTAGAACACCTGCCCTGTACAGTCACTGTCATAATTTACTTATTTAGTGCTCACTGTGCTGTGAATCGGTGCTCCGTGTTGAGAAAGGGAAGCAAGAGCGCAGTGTGAGTGCCTTCCCTGGAGTCACGTGGCCAGTAAGTGGCAAAGCAGGGATTCAAACCTACATTCTCTGGCTCCAGGGATTAGTCTTTTTTTTCCTGGCGGTACTAGTGTTTGCACTCAGGGCCTCGTGCTTGCTAGGCAAGCGCTCTACCACTTGAAACACAACGCCAGCCCTAGAGACAAGCTTTTAACCACCACGCTGGCCGGTGAGCTTATGTTACCTGGTGTGAATGTTGCAGCCCAGCGCAATTATTCTTTCTCCCAGAAATACAAATCCTAAGGACAACGATGCAAAGATAGATGGCATTGTCACAGTGCATTTCTACCACGGTTAATGTCTCATGAGATGATTGCACATCTCCCACTGCCTCATAATCCTGGACCCTCCCTGGTTATGCACCCCTCCCCCACTCCCCGAAGGCTGACTCTCGAATGTTCCTTATATTCTCCAGGTCACCCCATGTGCTTCCAGTGAACTCTATTTGAACTTCAGTTCATTAGAGTCAGTTTCAGTTCATGCCACCAGGAGCCCTAACAGATGCAAAATTCAACACAATTACGTCCAACACATGGCACAGATGAAGGGCTTGGGGCTTCATAGCTGTGCTAATATTTGACAAAGCTAAAGGAAGTTTGAGTCTGGGGGAAGAAGGTATTTGTTCAAAGGGAGCCAGCGCCAGAGACGGGATTCAAGTCAAATATGACAGGAACCCTAGGGTGCATATTTTCATCTCAATCACTGAGAAAAAAAAATTGGTTTGGGCTCCTACCCAGCACTTTCTCCTTCTTCCCTTCGATGTGAAGATTGGATGCTTGCAGGGAGCAGACCGCCAGTGGTTCCTGCGCAGGGTGCAGACAGACATCAAAGTTAATCCGCTCTCTGATCTAAACAAAATGGTGACGAGGGTTTCCTGGGACAGCAGCTCCACTAATTGTAGCATTGCAGCCCAGCGGATGTATTTTTAGAATATTGCAGATTCCCAAGAAGCGTGGATGCTGGCTGTGGGACACAGGCTGGACACTCGGGGCTTGGAACACGGTGTTTTCATCTGGGATCCTCTGTGCTGGTGCTGTTGAGAATTAAAGGGGAAGAAAAGGAAATGTCTTCTTGTTTTTACGAGACGCTGTGACTCACCAAGTCTCTCTCAGTGAAATTATTCCCAGTTTACATCATTTAAGTTTTTCTTCTTTTGTCTGCCCTTCTCATGTAAGAGATCTCGCCAAATGTCTGTCTGAGCTTATTTCTTGCTGTGTGCTAGTCACCTCCCAGTTTTGTCTCATGTCTTTGTGACTTCCAGAGTGGGCCGATAGATCCTGGCTTTCTGCTGAACTCCAACTTCGCATGCATGGAGCTTTAGGTTCAAAACCACTTGCTTCTGCTTCCTCTTCACCATCTTCGTCCATCATTAAACCTTCTAGTTCATAGGAAAGCCGTTTTCTGCTGCTATAACAAAATACTTGAGGGTAGGTACTTTATAAAGGAAAGTAGTTTATTTACCTCACAGTTTGGAGGCTGAAGCTTTAAGATTCAGAAACTCCATCAATGAGGCCTCTGTCAAGGAACACAATGGCAAGAGGGCCTGTGACAGTGATCACATAGTGACACAGAAGCCAGAAGGTGAGGGAGGGGCCAGTCTCACTGGTTTATAACAACATACTATCTCAAGAACTAGCTCATGCTTTCAAGAAACAACTCTTAGGGCTACTCAAGCAGTAAGAGCGCCTGCCTAGCAAGTCTGAGGCCCTAAGTTCAAACCCAGGTACTGCCCCAGCTCCCCAAAAAGAAAAAACTCTTCTTTTCTCAATTCCTGTTTGGACCAGCTGTGACTGCATAGCTAATTACCCCATGCTTACTGCTTCAAAAATTAATAATTTTTAATTCCTTCTGAGGGTGATGTCACCAGTGAGATTCCTAGGCTCCACCTCTTAAAGGTCCCACTTCCTCCCAACCTTGCCATGC